ATTAGCATATGTCTCTATTTAGTTGCAGGAATAAGTTCATAAGTTTCTAGTGGCAATTCAGTATCAGGGTATTGATTTCAGAACTGAATTTAACATGAATTTGTTCGCGTAGAACTAATGAAAGGAATAATAGTTTTATTTTTACACTGAATTGTTATTGCAGTTTAAATTTTCTCTCAATATTCGTAAACAGGTGGCGTGTCTGAAAATATTAGAATGTTGAACCATAGGGCATAAAATACCGCATACAATTCAGATCTATGAGGGTATCTTTCGCGATTGAAATATATTTTTCAAAATGACTTGCATAACCACTTTTTCCCGTGTGTGTTAAATTCATTGAAAGGGAAAATGAACTTTTGATTTTCTGTGTCTATATTTCTATGTTGATGCACTCTAGGATGCCCGTGGTATATATATGTACATACTTGTATCAAGAGCCGAATTCGCCCAATAGAGAAAAACAACAAGAAAATTGTCAACAAGAAATACTCTCTAGTCTTCAATGAAACCTGCATAAAAGAACAGCTTCTGCCAAACTACACAAATACTTGTATTCTTACATAATTGTGTGAATTTTTCAAATGATAAAGCAGAAATACTTAAATTACGGCATCTGAGGAGCACAGTTATCAGGAAGTGTTTGCGTCGCCTTGACCTTCCTCAACGGAGCCCGTTACGCGTAGCGGCGCCGCCAATATTTATTTCTATAATTAAGTTAAGTTATTAAGTTATTAAGTCATATTAAGAACATAAAGTTAATCGTCACCGGATTAAGTGAGGGGAACACGTGTAATGTAGGTGAGGGGGACACGTGTAATGTAGGCGAGGGGGACACGTGTAATATAGGCGAGGGGAACACGTGTAATGTAGGTGAGGGGAACACGCGTAATGTAGGCGAGGGGAACACGTGTAATGTAGGTGAGGGGGACACGTGTAATGTAGGTGAGGGGGACACGTGTAATGTAGGTGAGGGGAACACGTGTAATGTAGGTGAGGGGGACACGTGTAATGTAGGTGAGGGGGACACGTGTAATGTAGGTGAGGGGAACACGTGTAATGTAGGCGAGGGGAACACGTGTAATGTAGATGAGGAGAAACACGTGCAATCTGAATGGTTGTGGAACACGTGTAATCCAGGACAGGGGTAAAATATATCAAAATAATCAAAAAACAATACGGCCACAAGAACTTGCGATCAATTCGTGGTTAGTTTTTTGTTCATTACATATCAATTAATATGTCGATTTGAGAGGCATATTGTTGTGGTTTGAGCTGTGGATTGTCTGTAGATTACTAGATTGTAGATTGCTAGGTTTCCATGCTTGATAAATATTAATCCTACTTCGCACAATTCCTGTGAAATTAATTCAGATTTTTAGTCATACACTATGAACCAAAATTTATCTCGTTCAACTTCTGCTTCAACTCAAGTGCATGACTATGGTTGAACTCATTTTGGGGTGGGCGCTCGTAAAATGCATTAATCCTTCAATGTTTTTTCGTTAAAAATTTATTTCGGGACATAGAAATAGATTTCATATGAACATACAATATGAAACATGAGTTGCGAGGCAAAACTAGGTCTTCCGATGAATTTCGTGCCTCTTACTAGTATACCTGTTATCTTTGGGAATTTATTTGATTTTCTCGAGTCATGTTCACTGAGCAGCGGCACAAGTGCGGACACTTGTACAGCTGCGCAGGTGTCAGCTCATCTCTCTTGTATTGACCGCTCGTCAGGAGTTTGTAGACAAAAAAGATATGCAAATCAAGAGAGACTTCTTCTTTATTATAGGTATTATAATATGTGAATGAATAAAAAACGCGGTGAAAAATATTTTTTAACTCTTAAATTGTTTATAACTATTTATTCAGCATTCATTTGCAATTTTTTTCCGAAATATTCAAACATTTCAGTTCTTCTTCCGTCTTTAGCCCAACGGATTGCATTGTAGTTGGACTTATTACAAATTACCAGGAGTGACAGCTGTTGCTGTCTCTTCATATCATAAATATGAAGGTTATATGAACCAATAACCAATACAAGTTATATGATAATATGAAATATGATAAAATATCATATAACCTGTATCGGCAGATGCTTCGAGAAAATTTAACGATTTTCATCTGCAACAATGATATAAATTCTTGGTCCCACGGTTCATTGATTAACCTTATCAATTTTCAGACACTTTTCAGACACCACCTAACAAACGATATGTAGGGAGAAATTACCCGACATGTGATCTCTTTTGTCGTTTATAGCTATGGCAAACTTATCTCTAATAATCAGAAGCGTCTCTATGGTGTGGAAAATACTTATAATCAGCATGACAAGGCCAAATTATGCATTGACGGATGTGCTTTTAAGTTTCTATAATACAATTTGAGAAGCACAGGTGAAGCGTCAACGATGAATGCTGCCCTATAGCCTTCTAGTCGTTTAGATTGTAATGGTGATTTTGAAATCTGTTATTGCCAATCACAGAAAACAATCACATTGTTTTCTGTGATTGACAATATCCTGGACCTTGATTTGAACTTGTGCACCGCTGAGGGAAGGTATATAAAGCTATATGCAAGGTTATTTTTAAGTTAATAATTGTCCTGTTACTATTTAAAAATTTTTCATCATTTCAGTGACAATTAACTGCTAGACTGACTTGAATCTCTTCATTCATAGACTAGAAATTTGTGTTGTAACGCACTCAATTTTTTTGTTCGTCGAGTTTTACTGAATGTAGCGGGAAAAGCAGCAATTTGTGTGGAAATTCCCCTGAATATTCGCAACATCTTCCGCATAGAACCCGCAGCCTAACGATGTTGCATTGTTTTAACGAGTTTATGCGATGTTTTCGTACAGTTTTAAAGTAAACGCCGGATACACGGGATAAGTTTTAGCAAAAAAAAAAAATCTAAATTTTAATGCTAAATACGTATTATATTGATAAATTCTAGTAAACATAACATTAACTAGGTGTGTGATGGCTCAGTAGATGAATAGTCATTCCTGCTATTTTTCGATTTATATGCCGCTCGTTATCGAATGTTTTTTTTTTTCAATGTCAACATGTTAGGGTTGCTGAAGGCACACTTTTTTCCCAATGATTATGGAGACAAGAGTACTTAATAAATAAAATACGATTCCTTCTTGCCCAGAAAATTATAATAATCTGATCACATTACATTATTGGTGGCTGTTCAAAGTTCATTGATGGCACGGGATTTCTAATATTATTGTCAGCTAACCTAGAAATATTATTATCAAAGTTGCAGTACAAATATTATTTTTAAAGTTGCCGTACAAATATTATTATCAAAGTTGCCGTACAATCATTATAATCAAAGTTGCAGTAGAAATATTATCAAAGTTGTAGAACAAATACTATTATCGAAGTAGCCGTTCAAATATTATTATAAAAGCTGCCATACAAAAATTATTATCAATGTTGCCGTACAAATATTATTATCAAAGTTGCGGTACAATCATTATAATCAAAGTTGCCGTAGAAATATTATTATCATTGTTGTAGAACAAATACTATTATCGAAGTAGCCGTACAAATATTATTATCAAAGTTGCCATACAAATATTATCAATGTTGCCGTACAAATATTATTATCAATGTTGCCGTACAATCATTATAATCAAAGTTGCTATAGAAATATTATTATCAAAGTTGCCGTACAAATATTATTATCAATGTTGCCGTACAAATAATATTGTAAAAGTGTTCTTACAAGTTCATGGCGCTGCCGGCTGAATGTACTTGGGTGAAGGTTGACGACGCTGTGTCAGACGGGCTAGTTGGTAGATGTTGCGCTGCTGTAACAGGAGCAGTTGCGTAACATGCGCGACACATATACGGATTCTTTTGAGATGGAAATGTCTAGGCGATAATTTTATTTTTACTTGGGTTGTCTTGGGGTATGCATTTTTCATGGTTTTGAATGTAGAGCTATTTTTATCAAAATCTGAGATTGATTTCAATGAATGACAACATTTCATAATATGAAAAAAATTTGCAGTTGGCGAAAATATATTTTAGCCTGATCAAGCGATTTTTCATTTTCAAATTTTTCCATTTTCAGGCGATTTTGAATTTTTCATTTGTTTAGTTTGTATATATAAATATAAAGTTACGACGCAACCCTCCGATTGATTCATCGTAAAAAAGTTCATATTTGTCAGATAATGCGCCTAGCTGCCTTTAATTATTTACGTTCACCTTTTCTACAATAAATAAAGCTTTCGATAATTAATGCTGGAAACCCTACAATTTTATGCCCAACAAACTAATTTTTAGTCCATTTTTCTTGGTCTCAAGCGACAGCGGCCGCTTATATGATAGGAACAGGATTTGCATTTTCACTTCAATAATTTTCGCAGCCAAATTCTTGCAAAAGGTTCATTGATCTGTTTTTCCTATGAATGATCGTCAGTATTTAGCCAATGAATAACTTCTTGTAATGCAACTGCAACAGATAATCTTACTTCATACAAGCTCATCCATTGAGAGGTTGCGCTATCATGCGCTATGCAGTACGTTGCCGAGAATGGCTTTCTTCATTCGTAATACAGTATTAATTTCATTGCTAGGTTACACTTAGAGAAATGAATGGGTAAAACTGCCCTAATAGTGTCGAATTTTTTCACGCACAGCGAAAACCAGACGTAGCACAGATACGTTATTTTGTCATGCCAAACTGGGTTTGGGATGACCGGCACAAGGGTGTAATAAACTGCATCGCTATTCTGACAAAGTCTCACTTATTTCTTTGAGTATTTGCCAATTTGTTGTATTGTTCCTGAATTTGTCTGAAATATTGTTTCCTGCTTTCTATATAAGAACGTAATTTCAGTTGGATTACTTATGTATACGAAATAATGTCGTTCATGAAGATTAATATAAAAAACCATGTGATTGCAGGAATGGAGAGGTGAGTGTGAAAATTGTTCCTTATTATTTTCCGATTTTATTTATATATATGTTCTACAGATATTATGCAAACCTTCCAAAAAATTGCTATATTTTCTTCGAGATAAAATTTCTCTCTTCGAAGCTGGAACAGAACTTCAAGATTATAAACTTTTACTAACGTTTATAAAGTATAGAAATTTTCATGTTCAGACTGAACTAATTTGTATACCCTAAATAAACAGTAATATTAAAACAATATTAGTAGGTAGGTTGCCGTTGAACTCAAGCAGGCAACCACAATGTCGAAACGCCACTTAATCAACACACTCGCCATACTCTTCGGCGTGGGAGCTTGGGTGTCAGTCAATGGGATCTGGGTGGAACTGCCTCTCATGGTGGACAGTCTGCCGGAGGGCTGGGCTCTTCCATCTTATCTTTCCGTCATAATACAGGTGAGATATGGGCGTGAAATAGGTGAAAAATTACTATTTTTATTGTAGAAAGTGACTGCTTGAAGGCTGCGATCTTTCATCTTATCTTTCCGTCATAATACAGGTGAGATATGGGCGTGAAATTGGTGGAAAAATTACTCTTTTATTGTAGAAAGTGACTGCCTGAAGGCTGCGATCTTCCATCGTATCTCTCAGTTATAATACAGGTGAGATCAGAGCATAAAATTAGTAGAAAATTACTCTTTCATTGTTTAAAGTTACTACTTGAAGGCTGGGCTCTTCCATCTTATCTCTCTGTCATAATACAGGTGAGACATGGGCGTGAAATTTGTGAAAAATTACTCTCTTGGTAATTTTAGAAAGTGACTGTTAAAAGCTTGCGATCTTCCATTTCATCTCTTTGTCATAATACAGGTGAAATATGTGCAAAAAATGGTAAAAAATATACTTTCTTATTGTAGAAAGTTACTGACGAGGGCTGGGCTTTACTTTGTTATCATCTGACCATCGTAATATAGGAGAAGTTTGGACGCGAAATTAGCGAAAAATATTTTTTTTTGTTGCCTGAAGGTTAGTTTCTTCCATCTTCTCCTATTTATCTCTATTTGTGAGGTCTGGGTGTACAATTTGTTAAAAATTATACATTTTTGATACAGAAAGTTCAGCCGTGCATAATGCTATCGTGAAAATTCATCCGCTAGACGTTTACGCCTAAGGTATTCAAAGTCTCTCACATTCTTCAAATTTCTGACTCGTGATAAATTATGATATTACTAATACCATAATTTCGCTGAATTTTGTTAATAATTCGTTGAATTTATTTAATTGACCAATTTAATTAAATTTAATGAATCCATAAAGAGGAATAAAAAAATAATTAGAGTGCATTGGAGCGCACATTCCTTAAACTGATTCTTTGTGATACGTAAAATAAATAAATTTCTGTGATATATGTGTCTAGAATAAAGAAATTTAATTCAGTCCGTGCCACAAATTATTTATAATTTATTATAATGATTACAAACAAGTCGTTCATCGAATACGTTTTTTCTTGGATCTATTCCAAACAGCATGATGATTATATAACACAACCTGTAAACTGACCATCTAAATGAGTAATTGGGAGCAGGATTTCTTCCGCTATAAAAAAAATGTTGAACCATTTATTTTCCATGCATGGTTTTAAATTGATTTTTTATGGGAGGAAGTCTGAAAGGGCATAAATGCAGTAAAAAATGTTACGTATGCATTTTATTATTTTCGTTTAGCATTATCTAGAACAATACTTTTCTTAAACAACAATTTTTTGGAGACAATATAACACTGATTTTCAGACGTGGTTATAATATTGATGATGTAGGTTTCATTAGTTGTGATAAAGCACGTTGCCACTTCCACTCATGGTGTCGCTGTAAGTACATTAACTCTTACGTACGTATCTATAAAGAAAATTCTTTTATTAATGTTCATTTTCTTTCAGATCGCCAACATCGGTCCCATATCATACTCCGTTCTGCAATTGTTGCGACCTGTCAAGAGATTGTCAGCTTTTGTCTACTTTTTATTGACGATTGGATGCATTGCTTCCCTTCTCCTGTTCTTCTTCTGGGACACCACGACTTACATCAACGGAGAAGAACACTCCACCGCCTTGTTCATCCTCATATTCTTCTTGGCCACCGTAGATTGTACTTCATCCGTGCTCTATTTACCATACATGGCGTCTTGGAAGAGCCTGTACCTGCCTTATTATTCTGTAGGGGAAGGACTTTCGGGCTTCTTGCCAGCTGTAGTTGCTTTATCACAGGGCGTTGGGTCTTCAGATGACGGCGGTGGAGAAATAACTCCGAACTCGAGCACAACTGTTGCAAGCGTTTCTCTACTTACTGGAGTGTACAAAAAAGCGGACAGCGCTTCCAACACCGGTCCCAATTTTTCCGTTTCTGTGTTCTTTTTGATACTATTCTTCATGATGCTTGTGAGCTCCATTGCCTTTTCTACACTCGACTTGCTTCCTAGCATTCAAGACGAGAGATCCATTAACTATAAGCACGCAAGCTGCAAAACGCTGCCAACGATAGCATCAGGTCACGGTAGTTCGAATAACGGTTACCGAAACGGCCAACACGACATCAGAAAACAGCCCTCACCTTTTGATGACCAACAGAACGTCGAACAAACGCACGAAACTTCGTCTGACTTGCCAAGCAACAGTTCTGACGGCACCAACAGTTTACTGGTCGATGAAAACGGCACCTTCGAGTGGTCTCTTCCGTTGTTCTCGTTCTTGTTAGCCGCGCAGTTCTTCGCTAGTCTCCTCATGAACGGCTTCCTACCGTCCATACAGTCGTACTCGTGCGCCCCGTACGGCACCACAACCTACCACCTCGCAGCCGCTCTTTCGGCCTTCGCCAACCCCTGCGCTGCCTTCACCACCGCGCTCGTGAGGCGGTCCAAGCTGAGCGTCGTGGCGGTGATGCTGGCGGTGGGTGCGGCCTTCGCTGCCTACGCCATCACCACCGCTGCCATGAGCCCCATCCCCCCTCTCGTCGGCACGCTGGCGGGATCCATCATAGTCGTAAGTTTATTTTCTTTTAATTTTAATAACTTTTATTTGTTTTCTCTAATATTGATAGTTTGCTGATCTTCCATATTCACAAACTTTTTAACATGCTTATAGTTTTTTTTCAATACTTGAAAATATTTTTGAATAACCAATTCTTATATTTTCATTTAATTTCCACGAATTACTTTGCTTTATCAAATCTTGCAATGTTAGATTCGCATTCCAAATTTATATATTCCACCAAATCATACTTAATCGCAAAATGAAACGCTTTTTCTTGCATCTTGAGAGATTAAACTACATATTGAATTGATAGTCTTCATATAACACAATATAATAAAAATTTATTAGAGGTGATCACTTACAGAATCTTCATTATAGTTGATATCCTTGCAAAGCTGCTTTCAATGAAAACGGCGTACTCTTCATTCATTTTTCGTTTCTACTAACAAAAATTCTAAAAGTAGCAATAGTGAAGGTTTCTGAGGATTTTAGTTGGAACTCGCTAACAAGCTACGACAACTTTCATTGAATAGTATGAACTAATCCATTATAATTTCTAGGCAAGGATGACATTTTTTAATCTGCCGAGAATGAAAATTTATTTCGCGACAGTTTCTTAACCTTCAATCTCCTAATGCCAGATGATTTGCGAGACGTAATGCAATTTTGTATTAAAATCTCGTTTCAGTTCTAGCCCATGAAATGAGATGTACTGAAGTTTGTACCCGCTATACCTAGTTGCCACTTCTGTTAGAATAATTATTTATATGAACAATCGGCGGACAGTGTGGCTGTTTCCTGTACTCAGCGTCAATTGTGATATTTTTTTAATGAGTTAAATTTTTATAACTCAGATACCACGAACACCCTTTTTGTTTAATTACTGAATCAACAGTATTTTCCGCGAGTTTCACTATGTGAAGTTTTTTCAGTTAAATTTTAGTTACAAAATTTAGGAGTTAGAGTTACGAGGGTTGACGGGACCTTTTAATAGATTTATATAGAACTTATGACGACGAAAAAATATCCCTATGTATACCCGATGAATAGAATTTAAAAGGCTTTCGTCATTCCTAGTAAAACGCAATGCTGGACTCCTTTGTGAAGTGATTCCACAGGTATGATTCAAGTCACGGAATCGCTTAATGCTTGCGTGCCACCACGTCCAACACCTCTGCTTTGTGCGTAACGAATTTGTCAATCCTAATGTCAGCCTTTCTTTCACCACAGAACGCTCTCTGTAATATATTCTTTGGTATCTCTTTGTTGCTTTCAGTTTTAAAGGTTATTGATATCAGTAAAGATTGTGGGCAATGAAATGACATTCAGAGGCTGGGTTAATCGGATTACAGAGTTCCCTGCCCCACGGAACCCTTTGCACTCCTGTGTTAGTTTTTCAGTCTCGGTCCGGAGTTTATCGGTGCTCAATTTCAATGTCAGTTGGTAAATCACTGCGCTGGACTAAGTGAGGTGACCTCTTTGTGCACAGACTTCTCATGATAATTTTTCGAAGAACTGAATCTGTCATGTTGAAATTTCTCTTTTGAAAATTATCCCATCTATTATTTCACTGAACGATAACGCTTTCTGTAACCTGAGATTCTACGGAGCTTGCTATTTGAACTCGCCTGACTGTTGAACTTTTCCAATTATATGTATGAATACTTTATTGGGTGATAAAAGTTATCTATCTGGCTGGTAATTCTGCGCACAATATTGGCCTACTTCTGTAGAGTACCTCATTACTATTTTTATCTCAGATTCATGTGTTATGAAGAACTGATAATGTGATATAATAAGCATAAAATTTTGATATATAATTGTCAATCGATGAACTAGTATCTATCTTTCGGTTAAATGAATACAGATTTATTAAAGTGGTTTCTTTGAAACCTCAAGAGCGAATCACAACAATTACAATTCTTTGTAGTGGAAAGAGCCTTTGTGACACTTTATCAGAAATCTTTTAGAAAGACACCTAAAAAGCCTTTGTGAAATTGTTTTGATATCTGTGTGCCCTGACAGAGGATATTATATCGATGCCAGAGTGTTGACACGATTGTGATTGATAGTGCAATTTCTTTCACCTAATCGTCTACTCGTGGGTGATGTGTCACACTGTGTGATGGAGTGAGAAATCTCATGACGCAAGTGATAATTAATTTCATTCTTTGGTTTGCAATGCGAGAACAAACATCGGCGCGTGATAATATTGATGACCAAGCTAAATCGAGGCATTATTTCTCCAACATAACTGCAATCTCGCTTATATTATCTGAGGACGCGTGATGGGGTCTGCATGGTCAACTAAATAAAGACCCAATACTAAATTAATTATATTTTCAAACTGGATTGCCCTTTTCCAACATGAACTCGAGTGATTTGCATATTTTTATGTAATTCATCATTTACTATCATAGTTGAGTTAAAATCCATATCGGGTGAATTTTAATGCTTAAAACTTGAAAGGTTTTCAGGGGTTGCCATCAGACTGATCCGATTGTTAATAAAATAAGAATAAATAAAAAATTCAGACCTAAGCAACATATTTGTTGGACTCGCAGGGCTAATAAATCAATTGAACCAATTTTACGCCCAATATAAACCCCACATAAAAAGAAAATAAGCTTAATAGTTAGTAATGTTCGTTAATAATTCTCAAATATTAACATTTACCTTAATGCTGTTCAGGTGCTGTCGTGGGTGGTGTTCACATATCTTCTGAGCTTCGTACGCGTGGAAGTGAACAACCTGCTACGCATGACGGGCGGGCAGAAAGGCAGTCGCGTGCTCTTCTGGTCAGGCGTGTCCACTCAGACTGGGTCCTTCATCGGGGCGCTCGTGGCCTTCCTGCTCGTCAACGTGGCCGGTGTCTTTTCTGCCTAAATTTATGCTAATTTTAATGAAGAAATATTCAAAGAAATGATAAAGGAACCGTAATGCCATAAATTGTTTCATACCTTCATTTGGTTAATGTCGCTGATGCCTCCTATGTGGAATTGGTTATTTTATTATAAGAGTTGTGCAATGATAGAGTTAACCTAATAGTTACTGTCTAATGTGTTTACAAAGCTAATGGGTAGATCATTGCGAAATTAGTATGGGTAATTTTTATCGTAGTATACTGCATAAAACAACAGGACTCCAAAACAGGTAGATAGACATATTGTTTTGATTTGTAAGCGTGTTTATTCAAGTCTTCTTGACCGATATTATTTATCGAAAGTAATATTGACGCTATTTCAACTTTGAGGCTTCCTTGTTAGTCAACTTCTGAAGCCTTTCTTTTTAGAGGGATAAATGAGTGTTCGTAGTTTAGTCTGCGTTGGTTATTGAATCAATTTTCGTAGCCTGTTTACCAGCCTTACCTGGATTTTGATTTATTCACTAGTTGATTTTTCAGTGTAGTGAAACAGTTGAATGGTTTTCGTTCATAACTATGAATGCAAAGTCACGTTTCTGAAAATTTTTTATGTTGAATGTTGTAATTATTTGATCAAAAACAATTCATTGTTACTATTGATTATTGTCGTATTGAATCGCATACACAGCCGTTTCTAGACTGTAGTTCCTTAACCCATTATATATTTGTTCAAGTTATTTAGCTATGATTTTGATTTGGTTCCTTAAGAAACGATTCGGGAATCGCTTGACCATCAATGATCTAGTCTAGCTTTCGACGTTTGTAATTTTATCAGTGTTATTTGCATTTTTCGTGAAAAACGTTAAATTTTGAGTAGATTATTAGTTCTTTTGTATTAATGTAATATATTGTAGATATACAGTTCTTCTGCCTGACTTTTGTTACTTCTTAGATGGATTATTTTGCTACAGAGTCGCCATTTTATCGTATCGTTTGAGGAATCCTGGAAGGCTTCTTCTAACATGGTCAGGAGACCAATATTCCATGTATAAAATTAGAATTAGCCTTCCTGGAAGCCTTCTTCTAATCCTGGAAGCCTTCTTCTAACATGGTCAGGAGACCAATATTCCATGTATACAATTAGAATTAAACAGACATTGGGCCGCATATTTGCACTCATTAGCTGAATATTATTGCGCATTGCAAATACGGGTGATTTGAAGGCTGTCCCAGAAATTCACTGGTTAACAAATAGGAAAAAGTTCGTCCCTACCAGTAATTATCTGTATCATTATCTACCAGTCATTATCTGTACCAGTCATTATTTGCCAATGATTGTTCGCAATTTATTTTCATTTATGGCTCCATCGAGCTATAAAGGTTGAATCAAAAGTCTTGGATACATTTATTATTAATACTATTAATGATACAAAATCAACTAATAATGACGCATGCTTTTAATAATATAAAAACGATCCGGTACATTTAGAAAGCTTGTAATTTCAAGGTTTTACGTGGAATGTTCCAAGATGTTTAACTTGAGTACCATTAGGCACACGACATATAAATTTGCTAGTAAAATTCTTGCATAATATGTCTCATCATTGCATTGTCAACGGTTTCAACAGCTTCTGTTATTTTGCTATTGAACATTATTTTTCCATCATTAGTGTGGTAATTGTAATGAAAGAAATAGTAAGAGATATCACCTTATCACTGTTGCAATTTATTATAAAATTTCATGGTTTGCTTTTCCTCTCATGGTGATGTGTGTTCACTTGGTAACTTAGCTTTTAGTTGTATATTTTACTGTTGCTGTGCGGATCTTACGTTATGTTCCTGTACTTTTTAGTTCTAAAAAATATTCATGTGTTTTTAGTTAGATCGAATTTGCTTCTAAATATCTATCGAATTATATGCTATATAATATCGAAATGTAGTCGCTTAGGATAATGGTTAAAAGTATATTTATTGTGATGATGAAACTCTTGAAGACGACTTAATTTTCGCTTGTGTAATTTAAATATTACCGTATTCATTACTTATTCTTCATATACTCCAACCAACCCTTGGGGGGCGTTCGATGGAAATGGCAGGAACAAATATTAAAATTTGTTGTACGCAAGAAATACCGCCACACTATCCTTTATACTTTTTAATACTAGTCCGCAGTAAATATTTAAGTGTGATTTTCATTGATCTTTGTCCCATTATTTTTTTTGTAAATTTTTCGTGCAATTTTTTTACCTTCGTTCCATTCTTTTTGTTGCTCTCCGCTAAAGACATATTATAACATGCGATTCAAATCCGGGCATCTCTGTTCTCAGACTGGATTTTTCACTACTTAGCGTTTACTATTATAATTGAATTGGATATATATTTACATTTGACGTTGCTCTGATAACATTTCAGGCTTGTCCATTAGTGTTTTCACCGTCCAGCTCTACGATGCCGTTTTAAGGAACTAAAAAATTTGTTAAAAATGGGCTAAAAAGTTGATCATTCTGTGTGTTTTCAACTTCTTCATTTTCATCTAGTGGTACATTATGCACGGCAGTATTATTTACGTATAATAAAACGAATGTCTATTGATTATTCATTTGAATTATTCAATAATTTAAGGTATGGTTCATACATCAAGCGAAAAGTTAGCATGGTTGTACGGATTTAACCCTCTATGTTGCTCTCCGGGAACATAATTTTTAACTTGAATTACACGTAAATTATTGAGTGTAGCGGGCTATAGGACGTTTGTACGCAACAGAAAACATTTTACAGTTGTTGTACGTGGCGGCAACAATCAGTGCAAGTCATTTTGCACTCACTAGAACGTCCCCTCAGGAGGGACTTCTGACTCGTGTCTGTGCTCGTCAAAAGTTCTATGGGATTTCGCGCTCCTAGGGGATTGTTCCTGAGCGCCCCACCGCTGAGCTCGCGGTGCCTGACTGCAGGTCTCAGTTGCGGGGTTAAGTTATAATGTAGGTAGGATTCCTTACATTAAGTTATTATGTAGGTAGGATTCCTTACATTTCCTTTCTCTGTCTCTCTCGTGCGGGCGGCCGACGTCCCGTGCAAGCGACCTCATGTTCGAGTGTCTTGGCATCTGTTGCTTGTCACCTGACCCTCCTTGTCACTTCGTCTCTTTGAGATGCTAACGCTACTTCTTTCGAGCCAGCTTCAGCGGGCTGGACATCTGAGACCTTCCGCCCCTTGTGGGTGATGATTACCTAGAGATTTTGAATAATTGAGACCTTCCGCCTTGCTGGCGATATTATATTTTGACCTCCGTGCGAAATAGCTTGATAGCTGTAGAAGCCCTAGCAACCCATTATACTACTACTACTCACTAGAACGTATCCATCTTGGTAAGTAACCTTGTGACAATATTGCTCCGGTTACTCATGTCAGGCGGTTGAAGTTTAATAGATGCATGCCTCCACTCATGGAACTTCGTGTTGCATGGAGGGCTGCGAACCTCAGCATCCAATGGTATTTCAATCGTGGCAATCCATGGATTTTCCTATGATGTCGCAAAAGCCGGCAGACGACGTGAACGACATCATGCACGAGTGTTGCAGTGGCTGTAGTTTACGATTCCATAATCGGAGTAGATATATGGTTTGATCTGTAAGGCTAGAAATTAGAATTCAGTTTTCTGTTATTCGATGACTAAAGGTAGATACGTTGGATCCGTTTACGAAACCGTTTCATGTTAGCGAGTGATTAGAATTGCGTGTTTCCACAAAAGTGTAGAAAACTTTATACGTATTGCATGAACTAAGCTGAAACATACAGTGGGGGGAAATAAATATTCGTACACTTGAAAAATCGTATTTTAATGTATGTAAGTACACAAACTTAACAGGAAAATTTAAATCACTTTTCCTGTTAAGTTTGTGTACTTACATACATTAAAATACGATTTTTCAAGTGTACGAATATTTATTTCCCCCCACTGTATTAACCCTCTATAGGCCAGGCGTACCGTACGTTCACAAAAATTCAGGTAATGTTTTTTCAATAACATTTATTATAATGATATTTCTACGAATTCTTTTTTATTGAGCTTTAAAATCATGAAGTTTCTGTGAATTACCCTGTATGTAGTGGAGTACAGTCTTTGGCTGTGCTGGCCTCTAGCTTGCATCCCAGTATAGTTTGAATGACAAGATTAGATTACATATAAAAACGATATTGTAACGAATTATATTTTTAAACCTAGCATTTTTTGAATGCACACAAAATAATTTAATCCATTCATCGAATAATTAGCGCAGTTAAGCTGATTTATCAATTATATTTTTTCAATGGATCCGCAACATACTCATTTTGGACGACGAAGAAAAAAAAATTAGTTCGAGCAATTTCACAGTTCCCTGGGTTGCGGTCTAGAATCTAGATTGTGGCAAGAATGGTGAACTAAAAAATTTTATGTGTATCTGCTTATTAAATTAACGAATACTAAAATAACTGTGGAGTGCAATTTTGCGTTTCCATTTCTAAAAGTATTATGATTTAAAAAGTAACTTTTAGATATCAGAGTCTTTGCAGTCGAATAGTGAAAGCGTCACTGTTGGGAAAGTAAAGGGGTCTACTGACTGAACAGTTTTGTAATTGTTCCTAAGAGAATGATTGTTATTTGTGTCAATTCTTTGCTCTCTGGATATTCAATATCTTGCATGAATGGCATCAGAAGTCATTCAAGTTGCCTAAATTTGGACTTGGAATTTAGGTTAGTACTGAATCCACATGCGAATAAAATAGGAATTACACAATGGCTTAACCATTAATGTAATGGGTTGGTGGTGTGGTAGGCATATTATTCTTGCTCACAAGGTTTAAATCTTTTGAAATATTTTATTACGAATGGAACATGTTTTGAAACTAGGCCTAATTATACCTATGCTATCCTGTTTAATGATAAATTCATTGTTTAACTGCCATAGTTCATTAGCAACCCTATATGTGTTCAAGCAAGCCATAATATTTTATGCTTCGTTACGTATGTAATAGTCATGCCTAGTAATTTGAAACTGTCATTTTGGCAACGAACAAGATATGCAACAGGTCAACACCTAAATATCTCAAGCAGACAAGAATGATTCATTAGTCCAGTCAGTTTGATCATTAGTGAACAGCCTCCCCGATGACATCGTTGGCGCTCCGAATATGAATGAAAGCGTTCAAGAAGACTAGATAAAGCTATGTAAATATATGTGTTCAGATTTGAAATGCTAAGCACCATATCGAACCCGGTTGAAGTCTGGTAGCTACTTCAAACTATCGTCAGTCCTGAAAAGATCCGGTCAAATGACACGATTTTAGATCTTCTGTGAACCAGGCACGAAAAGTACAAGAATCGGCGACAGGCCACATCAAGCCTACACTTCAGCGCCGACATCACTATGTTATGTTATTAGTGAAGAGCGAGAAATGCAGCATGTCTGCTCCTAATTACCTACAAGCTCCTTTATTTGTCCGGTAATTGTTAATTATGTCAATTTGTCCTGTGATTTCACTGCTTGCATGCGTAAAAAATCACTTTACTACCTAGATTAACATCAATGTGTCGGTTTGCGTTATGAAGATTTTCCATTCCGCTAATTTTGTGTCCCTGTTTTGATCCGAACATGGACTTGGTACAGGCATTTACTGGAAGCCATGCAGTGTAGAAATGGTAAAGCAGAGTTGCGAAACTCGTTTGATTTATTCAGCGGAATTTCCACAGCCTGCCCTGAACAACTCCTGTAATGCAATTTGTTAGAAATACGATTCGTTAGAATTAACTATGATAATAGCTATTAGTCCAATCAGTAGTTCATTTTAGCATAGTATTCACTTGTGCCTTCAAGGAGCTTCACATAAAAAATTATTGTCCTTCATAATTTGTTCTTACCTGTAAATAACCTTCTGAACTCTCTATATTTGATGAATAATAATCGCACTCGTGTAATAGAGATTTTACAACATATGTGTCATCGTATGAAGAGCGTGCGTGATAGTTTATCTAATACAGATTCCCATCTAGCATGATAGCATCTGACGCTGAGTAAACGTATATTAAAAGTTGTTTCGACATAATCTATTCGTAATCAATGTTATTGTAGTATCGTTTGCCCAGAGGAAATCCAATTGAAGATCACATGCAAATAACATTCGCAGGTGGTCGAGTAGAGGAGATATTTTTAAAATTATCCTTAAAATTCCTTCTTGCACTATTTTACTCCCAACAGCCAACCATTTGCGTTAAATAGTCAATCCAATTCTTCTCGTCACGCTCTATTCTCAGCTCTTTTTAGTGTTTCAAATATTTTTTATATATTAATATTAACACTTTACTCACTCATGACACAAAATCTTTAGTTTAACCAATGAGGTTGGTATAAAAAAACAATGAAATCTTCATGTATAATGTCGATTTTATCGAGAGAATTTTGGCTTCAGAATTTTCATTCTGGTCATTTGCTAACCCTAACGTTTTCAAAGATCGTTATTTTTTTGCCGTCGCCAGATGGTATGAATGATTTTATCAAAATGATGCGAGGGTATGAAAATATACAACTATTGAGAAGTCCATATGTTTTACTGAGTGGAGACATTGGCAATATAATCAAAGAACAATTTAACTATCAATAGTGTTTCATATCATGGTAAGTTAAACCGTACATAGCAGTAATGCATGTCTTTCCAGTTATTTGCCTTCATGTTATTAATTTGTATTAAATTTTATTTGAAGTAATTTTTTCGCTATTGCGCACTAATTTCAGTTTGTATAAATTTTCCCCAATTTTATTAGTTCGGATGAACATTATATTATTTGATTAAATATTTAGAACGATCAATTGGTGTTTCATACATTTTTCGTTTGTTGATATTTATACTCCTGCAGAGAATTTATAAGGTAAAATTCATCTCGTGAGAGATTTGTTGAGTTTTCCCTTCTTTGTATAGCAACCAGCGCATGAGGTTTAATCGATGTATTACTGTATTAGTCTCAACTGGCTACCCTGTAAGAATTTATAGCTATTATTATTTCAAATGAACTTCGTAAGCGTGCAAACTGGCATTCAGTGACTTATGCAATCAAATTTCCTCGGACACATAGACAATGTATTACGTTGTCTATCTGGCTGAATTAATTTTATTATTTACGTTGATTATCATCGTATTCCACAGAGTTGTGCCTTGCCTTCACAATTAAGCGTCTCTGCTACCTGTAACTATTGTCAAATATTTGTTTGGGTTATTTGTGCATTGACTTTCGATATTTTTGCGGTGTTAAAAAAATTGCATAACAATAGTTTTCTGTGTAACTGTTAGAAAAATAGGTATCCTATATAAATAGTTATAACTATTTTAATCATTTATTTGTTAACTATTTAGCTATTTTTAATTATTTAACTTTTTATTTATTTTATTTTAAAATAGTTATAACTATTTTAAACAACATGATTATACATTATAAGTTGATGCGGAAAATGTGGCGTAGTAGCTTGAGAATGCAACTGATTTATCGATCACCAAATAAACCATATTATTTGGCCGTTCTTTACGTCCTGACAGATTCCGAATATCCAGAAAATGCTTGCCTTGGTCCCTGATGATTATAAAGAGAATTTTCAACACTTCTAACCTTTATAAACTCGTCCGAAAATATAAGTTTTGCGCGGAGAAGAAAAAAGCCACTACAGCTTACGTATTGAAGTCAGGAGAATTCAAGCCTGGCGCAGAAGGAAGGCATTCAACTATCTTCAAGAAAAAAGGATCAAGAGACGTCAATTCTGCATTAAAATTTTGATTTTTAAGAAAGATCAAAACTCTGCTGGATATAATAATCGCTTGTGAAGCAGTAATCGGTTACCTAACTGAAAGTAGTGCTTCGAAAATTATTGAGATTTTACATGTATCGGAATATATGGTGAGAAGCGTTTCCCGTTACCAATTTTTCGTAAGTCCTTCTAAGATTTCTCTAGGCCAGAGGTTTGCAATTTGACTCCAAGGAAGTCAAGTGATAGGATAAATGTTGTAGTGAATGTTCGTATAACAATGATTTTTCCACCATTTCGCGTTTTTTAGCCTTAACTAATGATTAATATTTAATGACTTCGCGGTCCGGTGCGAACATTAACCTGTGACGGCCTTCGCTCTAGACTTTGACGGAGGAGCTGCTGATCGTCTTATGACGGCCCCAGCTTATCCAATAAAAATAAGTCGAAATTAAATTAAAAATCTCTTAGAAAGGATTTTTAATTTATAGCCTCAATGAATTTGTTTGACATATCCTTAAATTCCCGTACGGAAGGAAATCGCAATCCCAATAAATGCGTTAAAGCACATGATCCACATTAGTTTGATAAGTTTCTTCCCATCAACTGTATCAGTAATTTAGTTATGTCGATGATTGTGAAATGAACGGGAAATACGGATGAATTTTCAATAAATCATCGTGTAAAGTTTAACCTATTTTAAGGTTTCTGCAAAAAAAAACTGCTAAAAATGAGACAAAAGCTCGATGGTGGTTTAGGCGCTCCCCAGGATACATCACGTCACCTGCAGCGACGGTGGCGCCATCTCTTGCGGAATTAAATAAATATCGAGCAGCTTTTAACTTGCCCACAAGATGGCGCCACATACCGGATCTCAGCGTCTCCAAGTCAAATGAAGCGACGGTGGCGCCATCTCTTGCTAAATTAAATATCTATCAAAAAACTTTAAACTTACCCCACAAGATGGCGCCACATACCGGATCTCAACGTTGTCACTTCACATGAAGCGACGGTGGCGCCATCTCTTGCTAAATTAAATATATATCGAGAAGCTTTTAACTTACCCACAAGATGGCGCTACATACTGGATCTCAGCGTCGTCACGTCACATGAAGCGACTGTGGCGCCATCTCTTGCTAAATTAAATATCTATCAAAAAGCTTTCAACTTACCCCACAAGATGGCGCCACATACTGGATCTCAGCGTCGTCACGTCACATGAAGCGACGGTGGCGCCATCTCTTGCTAAATTAAATATCTATCGAGAAGCTTTTAACTTACCCACAAGATGGCGCCACATACTGGATCTCAGCGTCGTCACGTCACATGAAGCGACTGTGGCGCCATCTCTTGCTGAATTAAATATCCAACTAAAAGCTTCTAACTCGTCCACAAGATGACGCTACATACTCGATCTCAGTATAGAGATTTTGAAGCTCCCGCCGCCATGCCTCACGTTACATGTAGGGATGGTATATAGATATGGTGCTCTCTCGTGGTAAAGTACACATTTATACGTGCTATACATTTAATTCATCGCGAGACCATGTTAATTGGGTAAAATATTGATAGAATTTATCAAATAAAACAAATTCGTTTTACGGTATTGTTTGCCTGAATAGATAATCTTGAGGGTTCACTGTATTATGAGTAAGGATGTATAAGCTAAGAAGCAGGAAATCATTGATCAGTCAATGATTTCCGAGTAAAACTATTAAGTACAGTTGAATGTTCGGAATTCTCAGTCTTCCATCGATAATTGTATTGATCTAGATTTGTTTCAACTAGTAAGAAAATTATTCTATTGAAGATGTCTCACTGAAACGAAGACTAAGCTGCACAGACAATGTATATCATAATAGGTTCTTAAACGCAATTATAATCGGAGAGTCAGCGACGGCGGCAGAAAGTCTGTTCCTCTTAGTGACAATTAACGAGGAAAAAATGTCGTCGCAAGGATAACTTACACTGCCAGTATTACACAAGACACTGCCCTCTGTCGATGAAAATTAGGTTATATTCAAGAAAATTTAGCCTACAGTAGAGAACATTTTACGTTGATCTACGTTAGATAAGACAAACAGTCTTTTGTCGTAGAGATCGATCAAGCCCAGAAGACTTTCGAATTCTTTTTGACATTCTTCACAATGTCTACACAGCAGCTACTCATTAACTGATTCCATGCTCTACACTACACCAACATTAGTAATTTCAAACGGTTTTGCTTCAAGAATTTCTCTCGGCTTAGCATTTATTAGGGAAACGAAATGACTGGTGATAGCTGTGAAACATGCTGGACCTTAGCAGATTTGCAGACATGAACACGGTGATTTTTATCTCTGGAAACTATTAATTGGTATTATCAATGATTGCATGAACACCATTTTATTCAATAACAATCAACGGATGCGACATGCTTGAAGTAAAGCTCGGGGAGACAGTTGAATGTGTACGTTATCTATAATACTATTGGGTGATACAATTCACACCAAATCGATTCGAGTTTACCAGCCCTCTGCACGTGGGTACCTTGAAAAATTAAGCCCCATGAAGCTGCACCCCGAAAGTTGCCGCTCAGATGCACTGATCCCAGCTCAAATTGTGTGAACAGTTCAAACCAAAGAATTGAAATTCAAATAATATAATCCTCTCCAACAATTATTTAGCTCGAGTTTCAACTTTATGTAGAATGTCTGGACAATTGTTCTCCATTACAGTTGGAAGATCGATCCTCTATACCAAACAAAATCAGATTTTGCATGCAATCAATCTGCAACGTTTTGTCTACAGTTGGGACTTACAAAACTATTGTAATGAATATTTACAACCCTGAATTTGCGTTCACGACTTTCCTTATTTACTTGTCCTGCGACTCCCCGACTGGCCAACTGCTGCTGCATGGTGTGATTTCGATAACTTGCGGTTAGTTGATCTTCGATTTTTCTTCGCTTCAGCGTCATTTCTTGGAATTATTAACCAAGTAAGGAAATCCTTGGAGAAGCAGCATCGACGACTCACGCGAAGTCCATGGCTTCATTGACAAAAGGCCGAAGTGCACCCTTACGTCTGCTGCACCGGCCCTGCTCGCTATATACGAAAATAGAGTAAAATCATGATGATGACGAATTTCCAGAGTTGTTTAACAATTAACAGAAGAACGTGGAACGTTGCGTGGAAATTTTTGAATTATAAACCAAATCGACTTCAACCTGCTTGAATGCTTAATTGGTTATAAATTGCCACTTAAACTAAAACGCGAAATAAAAGCTTGTTGAGTGAGTATGGTTTTCATTTCGTGCGAAATACGCACCTGCGAAATTTAAAACTGAACCAAGCTTTCAACTTTAGACAGCCTAACTAGGGAAAAACGTTCACGGAAAATAACGAATTTACAGGATGAATACGCAAGCAGTTAAGGAACGAATGGACATTCAAAACAATGGCATGCCGTGTTCCAATTGCGATACAAAATGAAGATAAAATAGAAAATAATAGCTAAAGTGCGATTCAAGATCTTGATAAAAAACCAAGGTGATATTTCATACAGAATTATTCCTGGTATGTCCATCACATTACTATCGATGGAAGTCATTTCGTGAGAATAAATAAAATGAATAAATAAACCAAATAAAATACAGCTTTTGGATAGAAAAATAATAAAATTTTTGAGGAAAATCACCGACCTCTTCACAATAATAGCATGTTTTCATAAGAGTTTCCAAATCTTAAAAAATTGGATGTTCTCAAATTTCTGAAATTCCAGTTGCTAAAATAGTACATCTGTGTTTAAAGCGTAAGTGTGCCTAATTTTATATTGATTTTCAAAATAGTTGAAAACTACAGGATTCGTGATAATTCGCGGAATAGTGTTAGGTAAACGTCCCAACGCATCAAGATAAATGCTTTCACTAACTTCTAACAATTATTAACCATTGCAAGAAAGGCAGTTCAGAAAAACCAAATGTCTCTAGAATGGAAACTTCTCTATTCTGAATAAGTTCCGTTCATTAGAATTTTCACAAAGGATTGAAAGTAAATTAACTATTAACTAGAAGTTGATTGCACTGTGATGCTATAGCGTTAAGCACGAATAAATTTAGAAGTGATCAAGGACAGTGGCACGTATCAGCCGCAAGCCGCGCACTTCCAATTCTGTGCGCCAATCAGCTTAATGGAACGCCTAGCATATTTCCGAATGACCAGCAATCAGCGTGCCATCAGTAACCATCAGTCTGCGATGTCATCTTGTTTTAAATATTGAGAGCTTTACATCACCATATACTGGAACAAACAGCCTAGAGTGTAATGATCGTCAACCACTGAACGTAGCATCGAATCATCACTTCATACCTTGACTATATAAGTCGAAAAATGCCACCAGTGCCGATGGGTTGTCGACCGAATCATACCACACGGTGGGTTGTCGACCGAGCCTGGCAAAGAGGTACATTGTGAAGCGACATCTTGAAATTTTACTGTGATTGTAAATTCAATGTTACGCCTTTTTTCAGCGTTCTCATAAAGTTTGAACTTTAATTTTCGTTCTTCAAAACGAAAATTTCAGAATAATACGTTACTAACTTCGTAACTTTACTTCAAAGCTTGGTAATTTATTTAAAATGTTGTATCGGTTGATTACATTGATAGTTTCTTGTAATATTAAAAAAATAAACACAAATCTGAGGTGTCTTCCACTCAGAAGGTTGGCTCATGCAATTCCTTGATGAGGCTGCCTTGACCGATACATGATCCTCAGTGCCTGCCGAATGTTAGCGATGAACCACCCATGATTTGTAGCAGGGTTGCCAGATGGCCTAAAAAACGGCCAATTGTCTGCGAACAAAGAAGGTTGAAAAAGGCCTAAAACACAATATATACTTGAATATTTGTAGGTTCCTGTGTAAAAATTCAATTTTTTACATTTAACTATGAAGTACTCCTTTCATAAATTTCAGCCGGCAAACGCAATTGAAAAAACTAAATCGCGTAATTTGTCCGGAAAAAAATACCGTCAGACAACCCAGCTTTGTAGCAAGATTTTGATTCAATTCTAATTAATATGCGTAATACTCACGAATTGTGTGGTTGAGGATCAAGATTATTCCACCCACTCACTTGTCGGCCAGCAGCCCCCCGACAGCAGGACAGCCCACCAAGCAGCCAATTGTGAACAGCATTTGAAAGAGCTCCCGAATGTTGGCTTTGGAACAAACCAACTCGAACTGTAGTGCAGCGTAACATACGTTACAACGACAATTGCTGTGAAGTCGTAGAACTTTAGTATTATTAAATCTCAAGCTAATTTTAAACTGAAATTAAAGGCATTGACTCGAAAAATCCATCCAAAGTAGCATCGTGATCATCGAAGACCCCCTAGCAATCGAACAATTTGGCAATTCAGCGGAACTGAGTGAAAGCCATGCTAATCACTCACGAATTTGTTGCAATGACGTCCGGTTGATGTGCGTTGATACAAGTAAACTGCACAGGTGGAGCTATGAACTTGGATCCAAGAAGATTGATCACATGCGACATCGGTCCTGTGTGATGTCCATTGATAAGAATGATTTATATCTGTCAAGAGATATAATATATACTTACTATGCGATAGGAGTGAAATTACGGTGCGGAATCGCTGAAACTTTCGGCGTGGCACGAATACAATTTTATATTACAAGTATTTTAATTTTTCATCAGATCATATAGGAAGTACTCGATTTTGAAAAAGTAGTTATTTTGGCTTCTTAGGATTTTTTTACTTATAGTTACTAATGGCTACATATCAATTCAGGCGTAAATTCTTAGACAAAAAATCTAGACTTTGTCAAACCATTTAATTTTTGAGTTTTCATGCACTGTACGAATCTACGAATGCAATTTAATTGACATAATTGCCTTACTAATAAAGAGCCAGCAACAATGGAGCCTTAAATTTACTTATAGTATCGCAGAAAAAATGCCGAGCCTAAATTTCTTTTTAATAAACTAACTTCTGATTACCAAGCATACAAAGAAATGCTTAATCAGAGATTTAAATAAATATACATCGGAAGTTTTCTTTTGCACAGCCGTGTGCGATCCATTAATTAAATGGATCGCACACGGCTCTCTGCCCGTATATGGGGTGTAGAGCCGTGTACACGGCTAGCTACCCGATCTCTATTCGTATAAAATGATACGGGTAGAGATCGGTTGCAATCGCAATGAGGATAGGACGTGTAAACCCTAGAATACAACTTATTTGCTTATACATCGTATTATTTACTATGCAATGATTGATTTCCCCGCAAAAAACTGTAAAGTTTTTTCATTAGGAAAGCTTTGATTCAAAGACACATCGCATATTGAAAGAGGATCGTAAAGAGACAATTGAAGGGTTAGTCAAGATTATCATTTAACAAATGATTTTACCGTCTCACCAAGCATATCATTACCAATTAACGAAACAGTCACTCGGCAAATAATTCAGCTATCATCATCACTAATATTAACAACTGCAATTTCCAACAATCAATCTTTGTCCGTCATTAAGCATCAAACGAAAAACGAAAGAGGACAAAGAATTATAAATTCTCACCTAGTGATGCGACAGTAAAGATCAAATAAGTTGATGGTCTCACACCCAGCAAGGTTATGATCTCGTCCATGCTTTTGAAAATCTGAACAGATTTGAACGAAACTTTGAATATACAAAGCTAACCGTCCAACGGTGATGTTTAGCTCGCGACAATTTTTTCGATTTTGCCTTCGTTTGCAAGTTATACGGCTTTACGTATACGGCTTTTTGTCAATTAAACTTTAAAAATCTGTCTCAGAAATGCCGGTCGTTTCTCCGTATAACTCGCGAACGAAGGCAAAATAAAAAAAAATTATCACGAGCTAAATATCACCGTTGGGCTGGTTAGGTTAGTATATTCAAAGTTTCATTCAAATCTGTTCAATAGTTTAGAAGGAATTTCTTGGTCACTGCAAATTTCGGCCCGAATTGCTTTATAACTGAGGGATGAAGGTGAAATGGAAAAAAATTTCAGGCGCTAAACATCACCGTTGGCAAGTCAGGTTTGTATGTAGATATATTCAAAGTTTCGTTCAAATATGTTCAATAGTTTGGAAGGAATTTCTTGGTCACTATTCAAGCTACAGCAATGAAAGAGATATCATTCGATTCGTAAAAACCTTACCTAGCGACTCTAGGAGCCTTTTTTTGTATTTGTGCAGGGTTTGAATTATATATGGGGGGATTGGGGGTGAGGGGGGGTGAAAATGTGGAAAAATGGACAAACGCGCAAAAAAGAAAAACGATGAGGAAAATTGAAAATCGGGGCTCCAGAGCCGCTAGATAATTTTGTTAGGAATCGAATGAAATGTGTCTCGATATTGTAGCGTGTGATTTGCAAAAGTTATAAACTTTTTAGAGTACGCCCCTTTTTGCCGTTTTCTGTTAATTTCACGTTTTCTATTCTCATTTGGAAAAATTCATACGAGCAAATTGTTTTTTATTTTACCTTTCACGTATATGTGTGAAATTTCAGATAGATCGGTTAGTAAATGTAAAAGTTTTCCCGGGACCAAGCCGGTCTCTTTAAAGCTTACGCACATTGTTCATCAGATATCAGAGAGGGTTTCAGATTAAATGAAACGAGTTTTTAGGTTCAGCTACACACGAGGAATACATGAGCAATCAAAAGTAAATCCCATTTAACATCCATTATATATTCAGGCTCTAAATTATACGTGGAGATTATCATCAAAAATTCTCAAGAGAATGAAAGAAGATATTTATTATTCAAACTATTAGATAAAAAATAATATTAGCATGTAAAACATAGTGTACTAACCTCCTAACGCTATTATTTAGACAGGAAAAACGACAGATACTTTTTGGAATGCTCAAGTAGCCGTTAACTAAGTTTTATCTTCTTCAGCCGTTTACGCTACTTCATGCAAAGGTTAATTTCAGCCTATACTTCTTACCATTCGCGGTAAGATTGAAAATAATGCTAATGAGCAGATATTTTCCAGCCTGGTAGACAGAATTTTCAGCCATATAGTGTCAAAAGATGCACGTAGTTTTATGAGCCATGTCATGAAGTAAAGTTCACCTCTTGAACTAGCATTGCAAACTCTGCATAAATAAGTAAAATAACCAACTAAAGAAAGTCATGAATGTTCATTTATACAAAACACTTTTCAGTATACCACACTTTATACACACCGACACTCCATGCAGTCTTCCCCATAGTAATTCCAGTTTCTACCTGTCCTGTTGCAAATTAGTTTGCAAAGTTACTGCTTAGTTGCAATCACCTAATAAATACACATGGCTTTGCTTTAAATGCTCCATCTTTTTCCTTTATATTCCTGTTTCCAATTTTAAGCCATTTTCCAATATTCCAGCACCATACTATCATACTAATAATCTTGACGGATCTTAGCTTTCGCATTACTTAAACACTTTTTCTAACGATCATTTGAATTAATTTCGACTATAAACCCTAACACTATTAAAATCCCATCATTTCAAAAGTTACCATTCATAAAATACCGCACATAATACAGATTTTGATGTTGGCCTTCGGCAATGGTTTTGAGGACATCCAAATTCCGCAATTGATTACATTATGTAAGTCATAGACACAGTGAGCAGTTAAGTTAGACTGTAAAAGAGCCCTGTCACTAACACCCTCGCTAATTATGATTTATGAGGAAGCTGCTTCTGTTATAGTTTCCTGAGATGCAATTTCTTGTTGATTAATCAACTTTTACCGGAGTTATTCGGGATTGCTTTCAGCTAATTAGTTTATTTTTTTTCTTTATAAGCTTTCAGGTTCACTGATGTGGCATCTTGAATTCATATTCAGGTCAAGCTCCTGCGGTTGCTATAGCTACCGCTTTCTAAGCCCAAGTCTTGTGAAAAGATTTGCAGTACCAATTCAGTTGCGGTGGCGATTTTCCAGTTGTCTCTTACATTAATTCGAAGAAACAACTAACTGAAATGATCCCATACGGGCTTAAAATAGTTTGAAAAATAGAAACAATACTCAAGTGTATTTGTTATCTTTTCAACTTGGATTGGATTGGCAACCAACCATGGGTAAATACTGTACAATAAAAAATCGCAATCGTCTAGGCAGTTAATCTATGCAATTAGTGATATGCAATCTTATCTCTACGAGCACCCTTTATGGACAAGTAGAAGTTAATGTCTTTGGTCCGATTCCGTCCTAATGAGTGATTAAAACCCGCTTTAGGAAAGTCCCAATAACGCAGTGCACATGTGAAGCATAACGTGTGGCAGTCGTGCAAATTAATTTTTTGCATCCGAATTCAAGATTTAAACTTGTCCATGCCGAAAGCCGATAAAAATTTCACAGCTTCATCCACTGGATACATAAAATTACTCTGTGCTTGAAAGAAAAATAATAATAATGCTGTGACTGTAAGGGTATATTATATAGTAATCGGTTACTATCCAATTTTTATTATTAATTGTGCTGCAGTTTGAACTTGAGTAGTAGTAGTAGAATATGGTTCACTAGCGCTTCAGCTTAGCAAGCTATTCCGCACTGGAGGTCCAAAAATAACATCGCCAGCAAGGCAGAAGGTCTCGATTATTCGAAGTCTCAAATTAATTATCATCCACAAGGGGCCAAAGGTCTAAATTGTCCAGTCCGCTGAAGCTGGCTCGAAAGAAGCAGCGTTAGCATCTCAAAGAGACGAAGTGAGTTCGTCTCTTCAAGGTAAGTTCATTTAGTTAATGTTCAAGGTAAGTATTACATTTAGTTCAAGGTAAGTATTACAGATAAAAATCATATGCAGAAGAGCTGAAATTTCTGAGATGCCCAAATGCACTTCATCACATTTTGTTGCATGATTATTTCGAAAACAAAATAAAAAATTTGCCATACAATCCCATCCGCCTGAGTTATGACGCTGATTGTATTGGCGAATAATTTCACTATCTGTACTCTGAGCGAGAATTAAAATCGGATGTATACTCGTATAGTGAAGGAAGAAATTGAAGAGTACACGTAACAACAGAATAAATAGTCACAATATTAATGGAATGAAGCCAATATCGGCTCATGAATAATCCAAATGCCGAAATAAATGATTATGAAATAAAATAAAATTTTCATAATTTCTGGTGAAAAAAAATGAGACAGGGGAACGGTGGCATCTAACATCTCGTCGTGTGTTCATTTGCTTGTGCTCGGCAAGCTCTGCAGTCGTCCACTCTCTCTGCTTGGTATAGGTTGGTGGTGAACGAACTTATCTGGCAAAGAAACTTTACGTGGTAACTGAAGAAAATATTAACTTAAATATTTTCCTGGCAAGTACCCCTTGGAATACAAGAACCATTTGCATTGATGAATTCATTCAAACATCTGAGATTTTCTTGATGTTAATTCAATGCGACTGAAAATTTATTCAATAAGATCCCCCGTAACAATCGAAACATTGAAAGTCATTCGAAGAAAATTCACAGCTACAGTGGCCTGTCAAGATTGATTTACTTCAACACATTATTTTATGACTACTCGAACATTTACTCATTCGAAAGTAAATCATTGTTGGTTGTTTTAATTGAAGATTATAGTGGCTGATAAGAGATGTGATTATATCATGGAAAAATTCTGAAATGCACAAAAAATTCTAAGTAAACTAAAAGCTTACTTTTTTGCTTTTTTGAGTGGTGGCGAAAGCAGAAATAGCATCGGTCAAAGTATTCAAATATTTTATTAATGCA